GGTTTGATTACGCTGAATAAAACCTTTTATGACGGTTGAGGAAAATTGAATAAGATTGGTAATGGTTGAGAGGCCACTACGAAAACCATGTTGATATGGGCTTAAGATTGGCTGAACTTTATGAGAAATTACATCAGTAATCAGTTTTTCGAATAATTTTGGAATTGCACTTAATTTAGCAATTCCTCTATTTTGTGATTAACTTTTTTTCTTTGGATATTTCATTTTGTGTTCGTAAACAAACAATGCATCAACTGCGTTGCAAATACGTGGTAGCGACATTTTAAAAATAGTATGCAATGTAAATATTTGGTACTGTTGCATTTTGAAACATGATGCATTGTTCGATGCATGCATTGCAGAATCTCAAAAGCTATCTGGCCTGAATTCTCTCGCCAAAGAACATCTTCGCTGCTGGCACATATAAGAGAGAGAGATAAAAATCATTTTGGGGATAATAACAGATCACTGCAAGATTAGATCTCTCTCTTCGAAATGGGACTCCGTCGGAGAGGATTACTATCGTCTATGTGAGGACGAAGACGAGCTAGAAACAATTGAACATATCCTCTGTAAATGTCCATCACTGACCGGCAGAAGACATAAACAGTTTGGAATATATGAAATTGATAATCTAGCCTTCTTCTCTAAAATAGTATATCTTCGACATAAAGATCCAGCCCATTATTCACTACATCGGGAGTCGCAGCAGTATAGAAAATTTCCAGTGTGGTTAGAAAAATCATTGGAAATAAATATCAGTACTATCATTTTAGAAATGTTTGAAACATTGGCGTTTAAAAGTGCCAACACGTTAGTTCTTGTGGTGTTCAGCGACTTGTTTGCATAGTTTCACTTATTTGTATATGAAGTCTCGTCCGTTTTCCACTACATTGGAAGTTTAAACCCTTTCAGTGTTTTTGTCGAATATATTCGACATTTAAAAGTACTCTCTTTCTTTGGGATTTTTCGGTTATCCTATGTACCGTTAATATAGATGTTTTTGTTTTTGCTGAAAAACAGACGAAACTGGCCGAGAGTTAAAATGACAATTGCTATTTTTTCTAAACTTGTCCCTTTTATATGATTTTAAAAATAAAATTTTAGATTTTTATTCCAATATTTTTCTTTGACACTGAAAGGGTTAACTAAAATTCACATAATCATTCGCTGTAGTATAGGTCCACGTGGGATTGGAAACTATATTTCATATAACTGTCAGTAATTTTTAGTAAAAATGTTCGAAAAATATTTCCATAAATCATTTTATTTGCCATAGTCAAATATGTACATTTTACTACACACTTAAAAAAAAATTACCTTTCTACCTCAACTCGTTCTGTTGTGTACAATATTCAGAAAAAATGTCCAACAAAATTTCCCACACAGTGCAATATTTTGTATTTTTGGTGCCATTTAGTACGAATTTCCAATAAACCAAGCCTTTTATATGTACTAAGAGTTGGACATTTTTGTACTCTAAATTTAATTTATATTTTGGTAAAATTTTCCAAAAATTTTTATGCATAACGCTCTATTGATTATAGTTAAGCTACATATTAAATTTCTGATTTCAAAAATATATTACTGTATAGCATAGTACTTGTAATAGTTACAGATTTCCGGTTTCATTATACTACAGTATTTAGTACTAATTTAAAAACAATTATGCAGAGCATTCTATTTGCAATAGAGTAAGCTACATACTAAATTTTAGATTTATATTTCTACCCGTTCAATTGTAGTACTTTTAATCACTACTCAAAAAATGTATGCATAGTATTCTATTTATAAGAGTTAAAGCTATATGCGAAGTTTCACATTTATACATTTTATAACTTTAATATATTCTAGTACTAATTTCAAAAACATATGTTTTCCATCATTCATTTATGTTATATACCAAATTACAGATATCTATCCCTACCTGTTCCATCGTAGTATAATATTTAGTACTGTTTATTATCTTTAGTAATAATTTCCAAAATTTGTTCCCACATTATAATTTGTTTATCATTGATAATGATGCATACCAAATTTTAGAGTTGTAGTTCCAACTGTTCCGGCGTAATACAGTTTTTAGTACTATTTAGTAGCATTTTAGTACTAATTTCAAAAAAAAATTGTTTGCCCATCATTCTATTTGTATTAGCTTAAGTTACATACCAAATTTCAGATATCTATCCCCATTTGTTCCATCGTACTATAATATTTTGTACTTTTTAGTACCTGTAGTACTAATTTCCAAAATTTATTTGCACATTCTGATTTATTTATCATTGACAAAGCTGCATACCAAATTTCAGAGTTGTAGTTTCAGCCGTTCCGCCATAATACAGTTTAGCATCATGTTATAATTTTTAGTACCTCTTAGTACTAAATTCCAACATTTTTTTCACACATATCTCTGTGCTTAACGTAGACAAAGCTCCATGCCAATTTTTAGTACCTTTTAATACGAATTTCCTAAAAACCCCGAAATATGTAACCCAAATACATCTGGCACTAGATGCATATTATGTAGTAAATGTGATATATGGTTCCATGCCGATTGTGAGAACATTTCTAAGACCCTTTTTACTATACTGGCTAAAAATCAAAACTCAGCATATACAGTGTTTGTTTTTGGATACTTTTTAGGTCATAAAAATAAAAGTAATAAAGCAAATGCAATGGTTGTATTTTATTAGGTATTTTATACTTAACAAAACATTCCAACTTTCAAAATTTAACTCTTGCATTTCTAAGAAAAAATAAAGAAAGCAATATCAACTCCAATGTACTCATTTTTGCAAGTTTGAAAAAATTGCAGAATACAAATATTTTTATTACTTATACCGTAGTTTTATATTTTAAATGTGTAATTTATCCAATTTGGCACACTTTATACCAATTTCAGTACAATTACATTTAAAATTTTGTTCAATCACATCAGCTGCCAAAGTTCGTTTAAATTATTAGGGGCCGATTGATACTGTCCCACCTGTCTCTTTACGATGGGCCCCAAATTATCTTTCGAATTGAAGTCGGGACTTTGTGCTGACACTGCGTTAATTGAAAATTTTGCTCATCAAAATATTCTGTCACGATTTTGGACGTGCGTCGTTGATCATCGCCCTGCTCATAATTACATCCCCTACAGGATAGGTTTTTTTTATCTACCAAGAACGGTTGATATTACTCTACAAGGCTCTCAATAGACTTATTTCATTATTATATTGTCATTTTTTTACATCGGTCCCAGACCCACAAGTTAAAGGTAGCCCATACCATGGCGATTCCTCAACCGTGCTTCACAATGGGCCTTTGAATTATTTTTCATCACCAATAATGCTTATTGTCGTATTGAAAACGGTTGAAATTGGATTCGTCGGCCCGATCACATGTTTCCAGTCGACCATCTTTTGGACTTGTTGAAAAGTTTTTACCCTCATTTTTCAATATATTTTCCGATAATACATGTTTTTGTTTTTTTTACTGCTAATGTCGGGAAGGACTCTTCACGTCGTTCACCGATTGGATTCGTCGGCCCGATCACATGTTTCCAGTCGACCACTATTCATCTTTTGTGCTTGTTGAAAAGTTTTTACCCTCATTTTGCAATATATTTTTCGATAATACATGTTTTTGTTTTTTTTTTTTTTACTGCAGCTATAGCCAAGTCAGGAAGGTCTCTTCATGTCGTTCGCCGACTAACAGGTTTGACGAGTGCTGACGATGTATATTTTGTTAAATCTTATCAATTTACATTTCCCTTATCATTAGACGTTGGTTCACACATCTTAGAAGATCTAATTTGAGGTTAGGGAATAACGAAACACTGGTTTGGTACCCATATGACCACTAATTGGCACAATTTTAGTCCCTTTGCAATGTCCAGGGTAGATCAGCTTCTTTCACTCAAGACCCAGATGGCCTCTGCAGTGATTATTATCATTTCTTCTGATTTATTATTATTAATTATTTATTCGATTTTTTTCGAAAATATGCACATTATTTTTTAGTAAACGGGATATAAATATTGTAAAACTTATATTTTCTTAAGAAAAGAATTATTAAAAACCAAAAAAGATTTAAAAAATGTGGTTTTGCATTCCTTATCTTCAAATTATTTATAAATTTGCTGACGTCCAAAAGTGAGTACATTGGAGTTAATTTTGTTTTCTTTATTTTTTTCTTGGTTGAGAGTTACATTTTTAAATTTAGGTTGTTTTGTTAAGTACAAGATACCTAATACAACCAAAATTTTTGAATTTGCTTTCTTACTTTTATTTTTTGACGTAAACAGTGTCCAAAGAACAATCCCATGAATAATACTGAAGATACATTCAAAGTGGAGATGAGAGAGCAGTTTGCTACACTAATGAGTCGAAATGAGTCTCGATCAAATTAAAGCCAAAAAAAAACCTTTGGGAATGTCGTGTCTGCAATTCGAAATGAATTATTAAATGGTTTGCAGGAGGTAAAAAAGGATGTTCAGGAGTGCAGAAATCTTGTTGGTTTCCATGATGTCTCTTATAAAAATAAATTTATGGAACTTGAGCTCCAGAATCATTGTCTTCAACACAGATTGAACAGAGCGGATATTATTGATACTGGCCTTTCGGAGAATTTTGAGAAGTTAAATGATTTATATATGTGGCCTTCTCAAAGTTGATATTGCTTCGGAGCTCATCGATAGCGTCATATATAAGAAAAAACGTTCCGTCCTTATTAAATTTAAAAATGTTGGCAAACGAGATGATGTTATGGCTGTATACTATAAATCTAAATCCTAAAGTTCTAAAGTTTCATTGGCGGATCTGATGAAGCTCGTGTGTACTTAATGGATAATTATTCTACTCTTGCTAACAAAGTTTGGAAAGTTTGTTCGAAACTTCCGCCTACGGGAAGCAAAGCTGAATGCTAACGGACGCGTCCACAGGTTGCGGATAGTGGGAAGCCCAACACCTTTCGTTGGGTAACTGTTAATAACCTAATAACTGACTAAAGAGGTAAACCCTGGCGAGGTTGAAGATATCGACTCAATCTCCACGGCCTGCAGTGACGTCGCGAGGCTTCTCAGGCAGTTGGCTGTCGAAACAGATGCTGGCACCGATGAGGCTCCCATCGTTAAGATGGATGATTCATCGGTACCAGTATCTGCTAGACAAGCTGACGCTAAGGAGATCGCTGCCAAGAAAATGTATCGGAGAGCAGTAAATTTCTGTAAACGATACATTGGACGGGATAGCGACTCCATCACGGGGAAGGAGTTCCTGTTAATCAAGAGGAACCTCAAACTCATTAGGAAGTTCTCTAGGAACTATCCTGATGATATTGAGAGGGACTTCTCGACTGATAGGATCCCCCCAGTACTAGGACCACAGCGGTAGTCCCTTCTAAGAAGGAGAAACCTGCTGATGGCCCCGGTACATCCAGGAAGCTGATGCCTGAGACGTCTAAGCCCTCAGCACCCCCAAAGGGTAAACTGAGTACTGAGACGTCTCAGACATCAGAATCCACAAAGACAGAAGGCAGGGGACTGTCGAAGTCGGCCCGAAAGAGAGCCCGTAAGAAGGCCTCCAAGAAGACTGACAAGGCACAACCGCCCACTGTCAATCCACCTTCTGCCGAATTGCCAAAGCTGACAGCCAAGGTGGTGACAATTGGGCAGTCGATAGTGGACAAGCAGAAGGTAGCGAACGTGAAGCAGGTGCCTGCGTCTGCTGGGCATACCTCTGCAGTAGCTGCTACCCCGGGTGCCAAATCTCGGCCACAGCCCACGGCTGTCAAGAGAATGAGGTCCTCGGAGGAGCAACAACCCGCTGCAAAGAGGCCCACGCAGTCGTCGGCCGTACAGAGCTCTGCTTCCTTTGCTTCGGTGGTAGCGTCGAAGGAGAAACCTGCCAAGAGCAGCGATTGTGGGATGAAAACCAAACACGCTGTCTCGAAAAAGGTAGCTCAGACACCTACAACGGAGCAAAGCGACTCTGCTGATCCGAAAAAGGTTCCGGAAGATCTGCGGGTAGCGATCATCGACCGAGCTGACCCCGACGGGTTTATCAGTGAGGATAGATGGGAGCTGGTCGACAGCTATCTGAAGGACATCTTCCTGTCCGACGAGGTTGATCGAGCCTGCGGTTTGGCCTGACCTCCTCTTACAAAGGGGTAATGGTTGTTGATTGTCGCACTAAGAAGACTTCAGATTTTCTTAAGAAGACAATCAACAGCCTGGACCCCCTTTGGGAGGGTGGTCGTCTGGCAGCTGTAGCGGTCCGAGATACCGAGCGGTATGGTAACCTCGGTGTTTATCCCAAAACCTTTCAAGGGGCTGGAGAAGACACTGAGGTTATTGGAGAAGCAGAACGACGGCCTTCAGACGAGGAGGTGGAGAATCCTCGCCTCGTTTGAAAGGAACGGCGGTGTAGTCGCGAAGTTCGCTACTGATTCTGCGGGAGAGGAGTACTTGATGAAGAACAAGGGTGAGCTTGTTTATGGAATGGTGAAACTTTGTTTCCGCCTCACAACTCCAAAACAATAAGCAGGCAGCAGCAAGCGCTTAACGTGATTCAGATTAATCTGTAGAGCAGCAGCTGCTGAACTGCTACTCACCCTCTCTTCCTCAAACATCGACGTGGCGCTCATTTCGAAGACAAAGCTCAGTACAGATTGGGATGTTTATAAAAGACAATTCAATAGGTACAAAGGCGAAATCAAGAAAGCTAAACGTGAGTCTTGGGTCTGCTATAGTGAGTCGATCGAAGGAGTCAACGAAGCGGCCAGATTCCGCAGAGTACTATCTAAGGATCCAAAATCCATAGGAAGTATTAAGCGAAGTGATGGTACGTGGACAAACTCTGGTAGTGAGACTCTCGATCTTCTATCATCAACCCACTTTCCTGGTTGTAAGGACTATAGGGAAGATGCGCAGTGTGTGCATCAGCCTACAGTTCGGACGAGGGAAGAGGAGAAGATGATAGAAGATACTATAAGATACCCAAAACTGATATGGGCGATAAACAGTTTTCAACCCTATAAATCTCCTGGTCCAGATGGTATAATACCGGCCATGCTGCAACACGCAGATGAACGAGTAATATCATTTCTGCAGGACATTTTTAGGGCTTGTTTACTTCTGTCGTACATACCAAGTCTATGGAAAGAGGTTACCGTGACCTTCATCCCGAAAGCCGGGAAGCCGAGTCATACGTTACCTAAAGACTATAGACCGATTAGCCTTTCTTCCTTTCTACTAAAAACTTTAGAAAGGTTACTAGACTCAGAAATTAGAAATACCATTGACCGTAATAAACTTAGTAAATCCCAGCATGCCTACATCAAAGGCAGATCAGTGGATACAGCTCTGCATGAGGTGGTTGGATGCATCGAGAAGAATATGGAGTCCTCTGGCTACACGTTGGCAGCATTCCTCGATATCGAAGGAGCTTTCAACAATGTGAAGCTAGAGGCAATCCATTCTGCTCTTGTAGACATAGGTATCCCCTCACTCCTTACGGAATGGATTGATAAAATGCTGGAAAGCAGAATTATCAACTCATCCTTAGGAGAGAGTTCCGTGAGGAAATCTGTCAACAGAGGCACACCTCAGGGAGGAGTACTTTCCCCCCTTTTGTGGCTTCTGGTGATAAATGAGATACTTATGAAATTCAATCATCTCAGGATAAAGGTTGTAGCCTATGCCGATGATGTAGTCTTGTTGGTTGGGGGTAAGTTTATAACGACAATATCAGACATCCTGGAGGGTGCGCTTTCAACCCTGTCAAATTGGGCTTGCACCAAAGGTCTTGGTGTAAACCCCACTAAAACCGAATTGGTGCTCTTCACTAGGAAATACAAAATTCCTAGTTTCCGCCTGCCATCACTTGGTGGAGTGACTTTAACCCTTTCTGATGAAGCTAAATATCTTGGTACTGTCCTAGACCGCAAGTTACTGTGGAATAGGAATGTCGAGGAACGCTCCAAGAAGGGATTGCTGGCACTCTATTCATGCAAGAACTCCATAGGCAAGAGTTGGGGATTGAGACCCGGAATTATACACTGGCTGTATACGACGATTGTCTTACCCATACTTACTTATGGATGTCTTGTCTGGTGGCAGGGGGTGAATAAAAAGAAGCTGCTGGCAAAACTGAGCCTAGTACAGCGATCGGCTTCGATTCTGATCACCGGAGCATTAAGAAGCACACCACAGGCAGCCTTGAATGCAATCTTGAATCTCCAACCTTTGGATATTCTGATCAAATTCCAGGCGGCCAGGTGTGCCCTGAGACTCCGGGAAACAGATGCCTTGAAATCGCTGAACTATGGTCATGCCAGCATCCTAAACATAACGCCAGGTTATGGCCTTTTTAGGGGGATAGTCATATCAGTGATTATATTCCTCCTCATAGGGACTTTAATGACATCAAAGTTGAATTTCCTAGTAGGGAATCCTGGACTAGTGGCTCCCTACCTCTACCAGGTCTGTCAATCTTCACAGACGGGTCCAAGATGGAGGAAGGCACTGGCGCAGGCGTCTACTGCAGGGAATTAGGTATACAGAACTCATATAAACTCAACAATGATTGTAGCGTTTTTCAAGCAGAGATTCTTGCAATCACGAAAGCGGCCGAGATAGTAAAAGCACTTAATACCGACATTACGGGACCGGTGACTATTTACGTAGATAGTCAGGCGGCCCTGAAAGCGGTGAAGTCGCATACTATAAACTCGAAAGCAGTTCATGATTGTAAGACCGCTCTGAATGATATACGACAGATAGTTTTGCTATGCTGGGTTCCAGGACATAATGATATTGAAGGGAATGAAATAGCCGACGAGCTTGCTCGAGGGGGATCACAGTCGTCCAGTCTTCTGATTGAGAGATCTGTGAAACCCCCTATTAGCTATTTCATTGGCAGAATCCGCGCGTTCCATTGCGAGGTAGTCGGCAACAGATGGCTGAGGGAACCTGCTTGCAGAATCTCTAAATCTATCTGCTGGAACGTCATCACAGCAAGAGGGAGATAAAAATCGTTGTGGGGATCATTACAGGTCACTGCAAAGTTAGATCCCTCACTTCTAAGTGGGACTCCAGTGGAGAGGATTACTGTCGTCTATGTGAGGACGAAGAAGAAGTGGAAACAATTGAGCACATCCTCTGCAAATGTCCATCGCTAATCAGCAGAAGACATAAACAGTTTGGATGCTATGAAATTGATAATCTAGTCTTCTTCTCCAAAATAGACCCTAACCAAATTCTAGGCTTTGTCAAAAAATTGACTTGGCTACAATAATGTCTCTTTCGCTTCCTCTTTCTCACTATTTCTCTCTCTACTCTTCCACTATTTTTTTCTTCTTCTCTTTATAGGTATACCTATACATAAAGGATGATCATAATGGACATAGTTTCGGAGTGGACGGCTGTTATAACAGCCGTACATCCCTAACTCAACCTAGGTACGACCATCACACGAAAATTGTAATATATTTGCGTGAATCACATATATAACTAAATTGAAAAAATAATTCTCTTTCTTCTGACTATAGTATGAACCCATATCTATTTACTTTTATGTTTTCCAGATATCTATTTACTTTTATGTTTTCCATTTTTTTCTGAAAATATTGCTGTTTTAATATTGTTTAATTTGAAATATATGCTCTGTTCCCGTACTTTGTGGCTTCTGGTGATAAATGAGATACTTATGAAATTCAATCATCTCAAGATAAAGGTTGTAGCCTATGCCGATGATGTAGTCTTGTTGGTTGGGGGTAAGTTTATAACGACAATATCAGACATCCTGGAGGGTGCGCTTTCAACCCTGTCAAATTGGGCTTGCACCAAAGGTCTTGGTGTAAACCCCACTAAAACCGAATTGGTGCTCTTCACTAGGAAATACAAAATTCCTAGTTTCCGTCTGCCATCACTTGGTGGAGTGACTTTAACCCTTTCTGATGAAGCTAAATATCTCGGTACTGTCCTAGACCGCAAGTTACTGTGAAATAGGAATGTCGAGGAACGCTCCAAGAAGGGATTGCTGGCACTCTATTCATGCAAGAACTCCATAGGCAAGAGTTGGGGATTGAGACCCGGAATTATACACTGGCTGTATACGACGATCGTCT